CGACTCGACTCGACAGTAGATCTGACTGGACTCGACTCGACTCGACACATTTCTCAAACTTCGCACTCGGGCTCGACTCGACTCGGCGTGAACCGAGTCGAGTCGAGTCGATTTGTCGAGTACTCGACTCGTTTTCGGTCTCTGACTTCCATTCAATCAAGTGTTTTCGATATCTAGCTCTCGTTTAATCAGATTTCTCGAGCGTGTGGGTACGCGGCATGATTGTGATCTTGTTGGATGTGTTTATGTAGTGTGGTGGTAAATTTTCAGAAATGGATGTGATTAATTGAATCGTTGAAGGAACTATCAGACGGCATGCATAGCGATATCCCCTCTGACATTCTCACGAGCTGCGACAGCGACACGCACAAAAATTCTTCTGAATACCCCTGATATTAATATTTATTGTGCTTACAATTATAGTGATATCTTACAAGGCAGCAACATCGTTCAACAAACCTACAATACGATTGAGCTTGAGGGTTGAGAGACAACGATTTTTCATACGATTTCCATCGGATTTTATAATATCAAACAAGATCAGAGGTATGATATTTTAAGATCTTACCATCCTATAGGTTGTCGTGGCTTTATATAGTCGAATGACATAGGAAACTCATTATGATCCAACTGTCGGATCTGTCTAAACTTTATCGGAGTCGATCTTAGATTCAACCATGCCGCATGAAATTGTCGCAGTTTTTTTTATCAATATGACTTTATTCCTTTTAATAACTACCAAGTCATTGTTAATTAAACTTTCCAGTTTACGCTCTAGACTACAACACTGTTAATAATTTTCGTAATTGATAGAGACCTTAGAAAAAGTCATCACTTTCCTGAATAAACGTTGAAACTTCTGAATTGACATTATTCTCCACATATGCATACTCACTTGCTTTATCAACTATTTCAGATGGTAGTAAGTATTTATGGAAACAAGAAAATACCAACTTTTATATAAAAAAGAAAGCAAACCGTATTTTGCTGTACTAATTCGTACATCTGTAAAAAAAAAGTATAGATTCCTCAAGCAATTTTCTCAGTCGTATCTTATGGCAAAGTGAGCTCTAACTGGTGGAACTTGGTTGTAATTTCTAATTCTATCTTAATTAAAGTCTATTTGTTGCTTTCTATGATTTTTCTTATCTATGGCCATAGCAACAATATTCAGTGTAACAATTTCCTAAATACTCAATCACAAATAGAAATAGACATACCACATGAATTTCTAGTTAACTGGAATTTTTGAATTCGATGATTGTTGAAATCACTCACAAATATGTTTCCAGTTGTGTCGAAAGCCATTGTTTGTGGATAGTCCAATTGGTTTGATGTTGTTCCACTGTTACCAAAACACCCAACCAAGCATTTGAACCCATTTGGAATTGATCGGATGATTCGATGATTTTGACTTTCCACAATAAATAGATAACCATCACCATCGAGTACAATACTGGTAGGTCTATTAAGTATAAATCGCACCTTTGCTCCGTAACCAGCCATTGTTATTCCTTTTTTTTGATCCGGTGCAAAGAATTGAATTCTGTTATTGTCTGTATCAGCTACGTATAAGTTGAATTGATTATCAACGAAAATTCCATGCGGATGATCAAGCATATTAGGCACAGGACCAGGACATCCTGTGCCAGCCACTACCACCGATACGGTTTGCCCATTGTTGAGTGCCGTTTTAACAACACGATGATTTGTCATCGAAGCACAATACAAATGGCAATTGATGTCAACGAAAAGTCCTGTACACCAACCATGGACATTAATTGCAATCGCACTTTGCGTTGCATTGAATGTCCATTTATCGACATGACCATTGTCATTACCATGGTCGGCATAAATGTCACTATCGGTTGTGACAAAAAGACTCCATGGATTAGTCAAATTTGTCGAAATAATTCTTGTCGGAGTCGACGATGCATTGTTCCATACTATAATCTGGCCATTTTCACGATTAGCGACATAGACGGCGTCTTCATCATTGATGAAAAGGCCAGCAGGTTTTTGTCCAACTAAATCCTTATCAGCAAATGTCACCGCATCTTCATTCCACGATGCACAAATGCTGAGATTAGGCCGATTGTATGAGACCACTAAAAAAGTAAGTACTAGTTTTTTAAGTACTGATGTTGAATAGGATGCTTCCGAACAGTTTTCATTATCATACATTCCTGTGATTTCTCCGTTTAATGAAGATGTGCATTTTATAATTGAAGTGACTACAGCATGCTTCGCAGTATAGTCCTGTAAGAGTTGTTCTGAATGTTTTTCTCTATTTCTTACTTACGGTTGTAGACAACCGTTTATTAATTAACTAAAACTGACAACAACAGTCATTCTAGATGGCGGTTTACAGAAATGTCATAATATCCATAACTCAGGTATTAAGATTGATAACATAGTTGTTGGGATATTCATTTAATAAATTCACGATATTGATATGCCGCTAAATAAACGATTTTAAATGACTATACTACAAGGAGGGAATCGATATCCGACTTGATAACTGATATATCTATTTTTTACGGTTTATGAAATCTTTCTAAACGTTTCCATAAATTTTCTAGAAAGTATAAATGAAAAGATATGTGACCTTCAAATACCACTCATGACCGATTGATGAAATGGTTTATAGTATTTATAAACCCTTAAGCGGTTTGCTATTAAGTGAATAATTAAGTGAACAAGTGTTATCTGTGGTGGTAATGCTATTCCAATCAATTTTTCTTGTCAGAGAAGATGACCTTTGCAAGAATATTTTTTTATAGAAAGGTTGTCTAACAACATATAACTTGGCATTGTGAAACCGAACAGAGTGCATTTCCAAAATGCCGAAGAACTATGTACAAGTCTGAATTTCTCAATTCCTAAAACTTCTAGCCAAGTTTTATTTAAAAACTCCTTACTTTAAGTAAGCTATACATCATTGAGAACTATTTAGGCTCAATATCAAGTCCATTCTTTCTCAAAACCGATTTGAGATCAAGTAAATTGAAATTGCATAATATGTTCAGGATATGTTTTTCCCTGTGATGAAGAGGATACTCTGAAAGCGTTAGTTCTATGCCATGTAGTTGTTGGCAGATATGTGTCAAACAAGAATCGAAAATCGCTCATCTGGTCTTTCAGAAGTCTTTTTGGGGCTTCATTCTCCATGTTCAACTTCTTTTCCTTGCAAGAGCATGTAACAGTGCAGCACCTGGCGAAGTCCCTTTTTTTGAGGAAGAAAGGCATAATGATTCGATACTTCAAACCTTCCAAAGATTAAGATTTCCTTTACTATTGTGGAGAGCCTTGGGGGTATCGAATAGTGATTACTTTCCTCTTTAAAAAGAAAGTTAGAATACAAAAATGAACTTCAACAAGCGCAGCACTTTTACATACTTCTTCAAAAGAAGAGTTCAAAATATTGAATGACGGATCAGAAAAATTTTGGAAACTGAATGGTCTATTTTCAATTTTTGATTGATGGGATGCACGAAAACCTAACCGTTAACCCATAATCTTAAGTTAAATCTTCGTAGACTCAATGTATCGACTTGAAATTTTTACTGTGATATGTTTAGCTCAGGCTACATCCCAGCGGGAAATGTCATCAAGATTCAACACTTGAAAAAGAACTTCTTTTTTGAGGAGTCCCTTAAATGTTACAACTAGTGAACCAAGTGATGCGTGTCAACTATTTTTTATGAACATTAGTCTTTAGGTAGAACTACTTAAGGTTTATGTTAGTTAAGTTGCATTAAAAACGGTTCATTGCAAAAATTATGCGTCTTTCGACAAATTTCAAAGAACTCAGTGATTCAGCGAAGAAGAAGACGTGATTGTTGCACAAGTAAAGCGTTCTCTATTTGTCCAATAATAGATACTATGTGGGCGTGTATGAAGCTTAAGTAGTGATGCAATTTCTAAAATCGATTGTATAGTGAATGTCAATG